GTCTGGTTTTGGTTGAAGGAAAGATGAAACGCTCTCAGGTATGAGATGATTTGGCTTCGAGGTACGGCTGCATAGTCAGCTTGTGTAGCGCCCGTTGCTCGTTGATAATATCCCACAACTCTTTAGTCTCCTGCTGAGCCTCTTCATCCGTAGCACATTGTTGTGCATGAGACTCCTGGAACGAGAGAATGGCCGCCTCAAGCGCATCATCAGGCAAGCCAAAGCCATTAAGCATCTTGCCGAATCTCGTCTCTTGTTCGAGACTCGTGTTTAGTTGAGATGTGAAGGTGAGTTGCCGCTCGGTCTGAGTGGGCCTGACAACTGCAACAGCTTTTGTGGATCGAGGTGTTTGCAGCAATGGCGGAAACAGCAAGTTCGTCACAGAGGCATTAAGGTCTGTCAACTCTGTGGGGTGTCCGTTTTCGGCCAGCTGCCATTGCAAGATTTTGCCTTTTGCGTGACCGGATAAGATTGTTGTGCCATCATGGTTTGGTGCCAAGCACAAAGCCGAGCCAGCATCTTCATCAGCGACTCCAATCGGTAAATTGACTTGAACGACAGTCGACGATGATTCAGTGCTATTCGGGCCAATGAGCGGCTTGTCTCCAAAGAGCTCTACGAGATAGAGAGCCCTGTCCTCAGATGAAACGAAGACGGCACGAGCGCAGGGATCCATGGAAACGCACAGCGGAGCCGTGGGGAACAACAGCGTACGCAGAATATCACCCGTTTGATAGTTCCAGATGATGCAGGTCTTGTCTTTGCTGGACGATACGCAGATGTTGGTTTCCGGGTTGACACTCCCGCTGATAGCGAGCGATGTGATGGCAGCCCTGTGGTTGGAGAGCGTACGGTCTGGCTCGCTCTCCACTGAAGCATCCAGCTCTAGCAGACGGGACAATGTCCAAACGTGAATGTTGGAGTCTTCGGAGCCTGTGAGGATGTGATAGGGCGTGACAGCCAGACACGAAACGGCTTGGACATGGCAAGGTGGTGTGACCCGCTGGCGACCAGTGCATGTCTGTTGTTTCGTTAGCCACAACAACAAGTTTGGGATTCGATCCGGGAATAGAAGATGTTTACCTCCCACAAGATCAGCCTGCCCTCGGAGGTCCCTAACGCCAAGACATCGTCAATCAACGCCAAGCTCCGAATCCGTTCTGGAAAGGTAATGACTGTTTCTTGGATGCCCCGCGATCTTGAGTAGACATGGACCTGGGACTTTTCGTGCTGGGCGGCAAACACATGCGAGTCACTGACAGCCAAGCAGTGAGCCGGGGTAGTGCTTTTCTTGAGAGTTGACTTGACGGTGTAGCTGGGGCTGAGAGTATGGGCGTAGATGCCAATATCTTTGGACACGGCCGTGTTTGCCGCAATAGGCGGGCCGCAGATACAGGAGTAGAATTCTTCCGATAACATGGTGGAGGGCGAGTAACAGCGAGGCGGGATCCGGAAGGGTGGTGAGGGCCGGATAGGCCGCGGGCTCGTCGGAATCTGAGGCTGCAGAGATTATCCGAGAGCGGTTCTGACTCCGGATGCTCGGGTGAGTGAACGCAAGGGGTGAAATAGACCAGGCGAATCAACGGCAGGGTTCGAGAATAGAAGCCGACGTTGCCTAGAGCCACGAGGCGAACAAGACTCTGTCCTCGTGGTCGGGAAGTGAATCAGTGCCACGAGTTTGCGAGATGGGCGTGGCGTCGATCGGTCGAGGCGAACTGTTCGAGTCTTCGAAACCACGTTGAAGGGCTTGATACTGGACTCAGATCTCTCCAGGTTTTGGAAGTGCGAACGCGAGAAGCAGAGCAAGAGCTAGGGCGGGAGCGAGAGTACAGGATCAATGGCTGGCGTTAGCACCAAGCAATGTTTCCTTCTTCGAGTCGTCTACGACACACTGGTGTGCTTGTGGCGTTGAGACTGGAAAAGCCGAGAATGAGATTTGGAAAAGTTGATAGTGAGGTTGGACGTGAGATGTGATGAGGCTGAAGACCCGGCTGGTTGTCACATTGAGAAGGACGATGAAAAAATTCGAATCCACTTTTCCCGAGGTGCGTTATCGATAGCGATCGAGAAACGGCCCCACCACGGAAGCGGCCCCCCCTGGCACCTAAGGTAGGTGCCTGGGTTCAGGTGGCCAAGGGCCTTTGGCAGTGCAGTGCATGCAGTTGATAGTGCAGATAGGGCGGCTAGAAGATACGCTAACAGCCGATGACCGCCAGACGTTGTCTCGCGTAGGCGCCACGGAGGGGTTCGACCTGTAGCTTGCCTATAATTCAGCCACTAACTCACCCTTACAGCAGAGATGGAGCTCTAGGAACGCTAACTTCTCTCCCTAGAAACACTAACAACGGTCTCCACGCGGTTTGGCTTATGGGAGGGAAGGGGCGCACGGGGCAGCAGCTTCAACTTGGCAGGTGCAGCTACCTGGAGCTCCCTTACTTCCTGCATCTCGCGAGCTTGCAACATCGCCAAACGACTTACAGCCAACTACCAACGACACCACTTCAACTTCATCAAACCTTTCTATGCCATGTTTTTCCACAAGACATGTCTCTCCTTTCGCATTTCTAGCGTACGCCACGAAGCCCGTCTCAGAGTCCATACCGTATTGTCTTGATTCGCCAATCTCCTCTAGTTCCACCGTTCAACCTTGGTTTCTAGCGGGAATCTACCTAGGCAATCCTTTGCTTTCACAAGCCGCCAACGGCCACGACTTCTGTTGTCTTACATGCTCGATACCGCCTCAGCCGCCTCCTGTTCGTATCACTCACCGCCACGGGCCAGACCTTTCTTTTCCATCAGAGGATCGCCGGCTATCTCATCAGCTTTGTGCTCTGGGTCTCGGGCATCCGTCTGACGTGACGCCCCGGCTGCATCTGCCATCTGCATCCATGATACAATCATAATTCATCTGCAGCTCGCCAACAGGAGGCCTGCAAGTTGCTGCCGCTTGAGTCTTGACAGTTGAGGTTCGAGACATCCCGCAATCTAATACGGATACCTAAGCTTTCAGCCGTCGCCTTGCACTTACGGATACTTGTGCTCGGTCCTGATTCACTGATTCAATATGCCGGTAATCTACAGAGTACCTCACACATGCCTTGCTGTATATGGCAACGACATCAGCAATGGCGCCCCCTTCTGGAATGTGAGACGAGACGAGGGCCAGGGAGCCTGCGGGACCCATTGCGTCCCTCACGATCCTCTTGTTTGGTAGATGACGATTGACCAAAGCAGGTCATCAACCCGTCACAAGATTGCCAGCCGCCCTTCGACTTTTCGGCTGCTCCAGCCATAAACGCGTACGTAGTCGCGATCTCTCAAGTCGGTTGGCTCTGGGCCGTCAATTTCAATTATGTCCAGGGACAGCTTGCTGGGCTTAAATGCCCTGGTCCATGCAGGCCCCCAACCCATGCTCGCTGCCCTGAACAGCCGGGGGAGGGTACGAATCGATGTCGCATTTTAATCCAATGATGACCTTCCAGAGCCCTGTCTGCCCAAGAGCCGGAGGAGCAGCAAGCATGGGATGCGTCGACAAATTACAGCATTGTGCAGAGTGCGCGACGCATGCAACTTGCGAAGGCGGCAGATGGCATGCGATGCGACCTTCCAATTTCACCCCATCAACGACGAGAAAACAAGACAGAGTACAGACTGGTCAGACTGGGCGGCGGAGGAAGGTGTTCCGCTGATGATCGTTCAGAAAGAATGAATCGAGAAAAGGTCGGCACTGCGATGTTCATTTACCCCAACTCTCAGACATCCGAGCGTGCGGCGAGGGAACCAGATCGCCGGTCTTCCTGGCTTATACAGTACGATGCCAGGGAATCGACCCTCTCGTTACCCTATCACGGTTGGCCTCACTGCTGGTCTGCTGCGCCGCCCCTCAATCTCCTGTTGATCTCGGCAGGGCCAGTCAATCCGGAAGGGGACAACAAAAAAGGGAGAGCCGAGAGACGAATCCAAGTCGCCACATGCACACACGCACACACAATCGTTTCGTACGGATACAGAATCCACACACATATCGAGTCCATACCGCATACAAAAACATGCGCACGCCGCAGACACGCATTGTACAAGTCCAGGCTTGCAGTGCCGAGACAGAGAGCTGCCATCTGCCACAGAGATCACTTGCTGAGACTTGGTGTTCGCCGACACTGTCGTAAGAGGAAACGAAAATAGCAGAAAGAATAGTACTTCAAGCCTTCCAGGCAGATGTCAGGACCTCTTGTGCTACGGTTTGCATTGCAAGCTGCTGTACCTGCGACGATCGTGTGCGTGCCGCCGCACAAGGCCTGTCCACGGAGTACACATGCGGGTACTGCGTACGGATACAAGATGCAGGCTGCAGACGCAGCAACACAGACGCCTCGGCCGCCCTGGGCCGGTTGCACTAAGAAAATACATGGAATACGCGATGGGGCTCTCTGCGGCCTGCCAGGGATCCGATCCGCCTTCTTGGTCGTTGGTCGCTGATTGTTGGACGATTCTTTGGAGTCCAGTCTGTTCTTTCGCGGACCCTTCGCTTCGATCCCTCGGAACTCGATTTTGTGATCGATTCCTCTGTGTCATCCTTCACCAACATTTGATTGCGGAAATCCCAGTGCAACGTGGTGGATATTATTCGCGGAGAAGACAACTCATTCGAGGAGAAAACTCTTTCAACCTCTTTGTCGCAGCCGTTTAAGCCTCCATCGTACAGGCCACGGTGGACACGGCCATGTGTCATGAACACGCACTTGGGTCGGGACACTTTATGACACTTCATAGGCGAAGCATGCTTCCTTCAGACACAATCAGACGCCAGCCCACCTTCCAAGCTTCGACGCCAAATAAGGCCAATATTGCTTCTGCAACAGTGTGGCAGCGAACTGCCGTATGCAGCGCAGATGTGCACAGAGAGTCCACTAACAGCGTAGCATTATTGAAGGCAAAAGAGACCCTCGCCCACACCCGCCCACATTGCTTTTTCTTCTTTTTTTCTCCTCGAATATTCGACAGTCCGACGATACGGATACAGGATACGGTGACTCTGTATTGGTACTCCGTGCACTACTCCGTACCTCAGTTGTAATTGTTCGTTCGGTGGACCGAAAATCGGGGACGTGATGCTTGCCGTTTCTCACTCGCTTCTCAACGCTAGGAGGCCTGCTGCCCCTGACCCGGTCATTCTAGGTGTCTCCATCCCGTGAGCTCCGGAGTCCCGCTGGACTTGTTCCCTCGCTGGTTCGCAAATCGCAACGGTCTCGCGAGAAGAGTGAGGTATCACGCCGTACGGGGGACGCAGAGTGGACGGCCCGGGTAGTAGGTATGCTTTGGCTCGCAGACACTCTGCACGCCCCGGAAGAGAGAAAAGAAAAGAAACACCATAGCCAAGGGACGACGGCCCTGACTACCACTCTGTACAGACTACGCATGCATAGTTGAGGTGCGGACGACGCAAGGGCGAAAAGCACCTTGCCTGGCGAACTTGTGTCTCACTCTCACAACTAACAGTGGCAGTCGGCATTCTTGTCTTGCTACGGACCTACGATCTATAGAATACTTAAAGCCTCCCTCCGTGTCGGTTGTCTGAGATGGCGCAGCAAACCCAGCGACGTGTATCGCACCTATATTGATTGTTGTTGTTGTTGTTATTCTTGTGGCCCTCGAGGTGTCACGGCATACGCAGCTTTCCCCTCCGGCAATCTGGGAAGCAATCTTTCTCATTCTCGATTCCTCGTCGTCACCCTCGAGATATTCGGAGACGGAGCTCTCTGCCGCCACACCCCCCTTCCCATCTCATCTCCCTCGTCACGTCGTGGGCCCTTTCTCACTCTTACTCAGCTCTCCAACGGTCACAGGGTGCCCTCTTTGGGGATCCCGGATCCGACCACACAATTGTCTTTGGGCCATTGTATATTCGGATACATCGTACCTTGCCTACGGATACCGTCCCCCCTCTTCTCATACGCAAGAAACAGAAGCAGAATAGAAGCAGTGGAAATCGAACAACAAGGTCCTCCCTCGGATCCCCACTAGCGAGAGTCCCTTCTTCTGCCCTACTGCTCCGTCCTCTCTGCCCATTGCCCACAGACGTGAGCAGACGGGTGTCCATCCTCACTGGAGCATTGTGGACGTGGTACACACGGCTACGAATACACGCCCGTGGCCCATCCCCATCTCCTTCCCTGTCGTCAGCCCTGGCAGCTTAAAGGCTGAGCAGCTCCCAGGCGGCCAGCATCCTCGTGAGCAACGACCACCCCTGGCTCTTGGAGTTTCTCCCCTTTTCTCTCAGAGGCTCGCCCAATGGCATGAGCATCAACCCATGTGGCATGCACCCCATGTTCGCGTTAGACGTTCCAGCTCCCTTCCCTGCCCCACACGCGACCGAGGCCCTCCCTGCAAGGAACATCTCTCCAACAACCTTTAAAACATCCCGTCCGCCGGTCCTGGGGCGAAGACGCTCCGTCCGGAGCATGAAAAACCTCTTGCCACTGACCCTGCCCTCCAGCTCTAGCACCGGCTCCAACGTCAGCTCCAACTGCAGTTCAAGTTCCAGATCTAGCTCAAGCTCTAGCTCCATCTTCAGCCCGCAGCCGATCATCTGTCGTCCTGTCTCGTCACCGCTGCCAACCCAGTTTCAACCACACCACCATCACCACCATCCGCATTCCCAGCCGCATACCGACCTCTCGTACGGATACCACCCCGGACGTTTATGCATCCGAGCCGGCGCCATGGCCGAAGCCGCGGAACCGACCATGGACTGCAACCTGCCGGAGCTGCTGGCTCAGGACCTTGAGTTCTCTGCCCTCATCTTCGCCGCCAAGAACATGACTGCCGGCGCGCCCTCGCCTGCTCTCGCCTCAGATGAAGACGACTGGCACGACGACGACGACACCGCCGAACCTCCCACCATCCTCGGCGCACCATGTCATCCCAACGGTGTAGCCCAATTCCAGCCTCTCGGTGCCATTGACGAGAAGAGCTCGGCCAGTGACGCGAGCCACGATGACATTTCAGATGCTGCCTCAAGCTCGAGCGGTGACTCCTTTAGCATGGCCGGAGGCGACCTTGACGGCGAAGATGATGCCGCCGAGTCACCTCACATTCGCCAACATTCTGTTCTTACTGCAGACACTACCATCTCCGCCTCGAGCCAGCCTGTGGTCGCATCATCCTCATCGCAAAAACGAGTTGTTTCCTTCGGTGGTGAAGCAGACGGAAGCTTGGAGAGCTGGATGGACTTTGAGCCAGACGCGCCGGCGGATCATCCCGAGCTCGGCAAGAGCCTAGTTCAATCGCCCGTTTTGACACCCATCAAGCCGATGCGGCCGCTATCTCGACTAGGTGACCGGTCCATCAACGAATCACCGCCGCGGGCCAAGAGCGCCAATGCCGCAGCCACTACGCGCCGGTTGTCCAACCCATTTGAGGGCTACACCCGGCCCACAAGCCGGGCCCGAAGCCTGCATCTGGACCCGACAGCGGCGGCCGTGGCTGCTGCCGCCAAGGACCAGAACCGCCATTCGATACACTCGATTCACTCACTTCACCCGGTCGACATCGCCGTGCCCACGCGTTGCTCATCGCTCAAGCACCGCGTCTCATTCACTGATGACGCTCGCAAGGCCATCTCTACTCGGTCTCGTTCGCGTTCGCATGCGTCTTCACGGCATTTGCAAACCGATCACGTCGTCGCGCCGGGGACAGATCGCAGCTCCATCATCTCGGACCTCAAGGAGGAGCTCGAGCCATGGTTCCGCTACCTCGACGCGCAAGACACGCCAACGCCAGCTTCTCGCCAGGGCCTGGCCCCCCCTTTACTCGTAACACCGCGTCCGACCTCCCGCTCCGGCGCCGGCGGTCCTTCAAGAGCATACACCACCCCGACCCCTCGTCCCCGGTCTCAGGCTCAAATAAGATCTCGGCCTACCTCGTCTCTGAGCACATCCTACACCTGGCTCGAGGACCCGATCGACATCCCGCCCCCTCCTTCGGACGACCAAAGCCGCCGCATCCCCCTTCCTCCCAACGTGATGGAATCCCTCCGCGTCTCCGTGACATGCTTCCCCGAGACAACGCTCCTCTGCTCCAGCCTCTCCATCGAGACGATCCGTAGCTACTCCCGCAAGGTCAGACAACCAGCCGCCCCGGAGGCTCTCCGCCCAGACACCCCGCCCACGTCTCCGAAACGCTGGCGTTGGCTCAGCTCCCGCCGTACCTCCAACCTCAACCGCCGCTGCTGCTCTCGCGGCGCATCCTCCTCCAACCTCGATCTCCCCTCCTCTGCCTCCCTATCGCCGTCGTCAACGGCAACCCTCGTCCCGCCCCAGTGGTCTCGTATTCGCAGTGTCTTTCCCCAAGGGTCAGATTGGCTCTGCGACGCCCTCTACGCCCACATTGTCGCCTACAACTATCTCGCACCCATGGTTCAGAACAGTACGACGCAGTCGCAGCCGAGACCACCTACACCCGCGAGTCCCAGTAACAGTAGCATCATCACGGATGATTCCATCCCCAAAAAGGCGGCCACTCTACTCGGCCTTCAGAGTATGCAAGGGGTGCAGGACATGACGACATCGCCGCCGCCGCCAAAGTCGTTGCGGAAGCGCTCCAGCATGTTCCTCGGTCTCGGGACCCGTTCGGCGTCGCGACAGGCTCAGATTGCAATGCCGGCTGCTGCTGTTGCTGCTGCTGCTGCTGCGCCAACCATGGCGCCGGCAGCACACTCAGCCCCGGTCTCCGATGTTCCCCTCCGGGAGCTGCTGCAAGGGCTGTCTCGGTGCATCGCGCACCTCGTAACGACGTTGCGCGCCGGGGGATCTGGTGGGTCCATGGTGAGAGGAGACCTGATCAACGAGGTTGATCCGCTCGTCATGCGATCTCTGTGTGAGATTGTAAAGTGCTGCGAGGAGTCGCCGAGCATGACGAGTGATCGGTCTTTGTAACAACATTTTTTTCCATCTTTACTATACCATTAGAGTTTTGTTTTGTTTTTCGTGTGCTTTATGAACCTCTTTCAAGCGGACTTGAGGCACACTGGGTAGTTATGAGGCGCTGAGAGGGAAGGGATCAGGGAAGCGCGCGAGTCTTGTTCTGGAATTTGGTATATATACCCTGTTTCATTTTTGTCATTCAAGCAAGGAGTAGAAAAGGGGTTGGTCAGTCACAAAAGACAAAAAAGCCTGCGGGGGAGTTTGGCATGGTGTTTTTCAGGGTAATGGTTAGAAGGAAAGGGAATCGAATGGCCACACGCCTCTTTTCACACTTGCCTCGTTCTGTCCAAGTTGAAGCCCGAGATGAAATGATGTCGGTAACAAAGAGTAGGAAGGATGTCATGAGTGACTAACTTGGTCCACAACATACTACGCAGAACTTTTCTGATAGGATGAGCGCTTTCGTACGTCTTTACCGTTCGCATAGTCCTTCTCATATCTGGCAGTCTGTGATGGACTATGTCTTCTTGAAGTCAAGAGTGTGGATCAGTTAGGACCACAAGGTATCATACCTACTTTACCTTGCAAGACACACCACAGATCAAGTTCCTATCTCCGAATGGTTTGGCTTTTGACTCGTCTTAGAAGTTTTGCGATATCCAACTACAAAAAGGCGAGGTTGGTTCCCAGTAAGTCTCAAATTCTCTAATTAAATACAACACAGCAATCATACAACTCTTCCAACACAACAACCACTCTATCCTCATCGAAGAATACCTACCACCTTCCTCACTATCACACATACAATACAAGGGGAATAAAGTCAAGATGGCAAATACACACGAGCAACAAGACATGGATTGTCAGCCTTTCCATCACCCAACATGGCGAATTTCACACGGCATTGGCAGTCTGCGCGTCCGCTGCCAGCATCTGCCCGCAGAAGTGCTCCTCGACATCGTGGAGCAGATTCTCGAGTCCAAGACCAAATGCCGCGAACTGCCGCCACCCATGCCGACGCTGGTATTCCCGGGACTACCAGCACCAACACCAAGGGCAGTTTCACCACCACCAAGCAACAGCTGCAAACCAAATATGCCAGCCCTCGCTACCCTCGTCTACCTCAGCACCCTCAACGACAGACTGCGGGACCTTGTAACACCCATCATCCAAGCCCACGAGCGCAAATCCACCTCAAGCACAAGCATAAGCACAAGCACAAGCACAAGCAAAGATCCAAACTGGTTCTACTCCTACGTCCTCATCTACTCGGCAAGGAAACGTTGTACCGATGGTGTCATCGCTGCCCTAGACCACGGCGCCGATATCAACGCCCACGACGGCATCGACGCATCCCTCGCCGCCGACAACATCGAAATCTCTGGGAGCCCTATGCCGACGGGCTCGCACTTGACTGTCCTCCACTGGGCGGCTTTCAACCGCGACTTCACTACCCTCCGGCTCTTACTAGACCGCGGCGCCGACGTACGTCGCACAGCGAACCGCTTCAAAAACGACCGCACCCCAGTCCAGGGCCGATCTCGGCCCCTGAGAAGGGCGGCCATATTCCAACCCTCATGGCACCAACGTCCGCACCAAGACGAGGTCAACGCGCTCGAATTCGCGCTGCAGGGTAATTACGGCATTTTGCCTTGGGGTATAACGGAGCAGTAGCGACTGGCGTTTATCCGAGATCGGGATATGCGGGATGAGCAAGTTGTGAGGATACTCGTCGAGGCCGGCTGTCCTGTATTCGCGGAGGAGCATACGGAGCGTGAGTGGAATTACGCTTGTGAGGAGGCGCGGTGGGGTGCTGCGAGAGATATTCTGTCGGATATGGCTCGTAAGCGCGGCAAATGGGGAGGTGATATGCGTCTTGTGTATGTTACTAGAGGGAGAGTTCCTAGTCCGCAGGTGGTGAATGGTAATGCGCCTGTCTGGTGATTCTCATTATAGATGCTTCTGGAGACGGTTGAGGTTATTGGAGAAAAGAGGATGGGATGTCAACTCTTTTGTTGTTGATTTCCCTGGGAGAAGACGATTTCTCCAAAGCTCAAGACGGCCGGCTACCAGAATTCGAGAGAATGACCATCATTGCAACTCTCATGGTATGGACATGTGTACTATGGCGCAGAAACGCATTCTGTACTATCATTAGCCCGAGATTCTACTCTAGCTTCGAGCACTACTCGACATGACTTCTTCAATGGGTGAGAGATGTCGATGATTATAAGTAGCTTAGCCTACACCTACCAAGATCATTACATCAAGTCTTCATTCCAACTCCATTACATTCGTTTCGTCTAACGAACACCATCTACATCACCCACAACTCGAATAACTTCACCCACACCCTTCTATCCTATGAATACTCAACACCCCCTTCAAAAGGATACGGATCCCGCACAACCCTCCCAACCTGCGAATCCCAATCGGGATCCCCAGTTCCATCCTTCTCCTCGTCAGCCTCCTCCCGCTTCCGTCCGCCGCGTGGCCTAGTCCTCCCCATCTCATGCCCCCTCCCAACTCGCCCCCCACTTCCCGCACCATCACCATAATCACCATGCCACACCCTCGCCACGCGCCCCTTGCCCCGAACCCCCTTCATGAACCCATTACTCAGCCCCAACAGCCCAGCACTCCCCAGCAACAGCACCAGCATCACAATATTCCCCGCCTGCGAGACGTTCCCGCTGAAGATGGCGACGACATACACGGCTAGTTTTGCCGTTGCTTCGAGGTAGCCCTGTACCGCTGTCTTTGCGAGGAGCCAGGCGTCTGTTGTCAGAGCGGCGAGGTCATCTGCGGGGCCGCGCATGCGGATTTTGAGGGTTGGGGTGAGGGGGATGAGGTACTCTGACGGTGGTATTACGCCGTTGCCGTTGCCGTTGCTGTTCCTCGTGCTGGTGAAGAACGCAGAGGGTGCCAGGGCTGGGGCCGGAGTAGGAGGAGGAGAGGGAGGAGGAGGGGTGCGTTGTTTGATGATGTAGATGTTTAGGAGGCGGGATGTGATGAGTGCTAGGATCGATGCGAGACCCCACCCTTTGTAGACGTTAGTTTCGTTGCTGGAAGGGCTACTCCACCGTGAGATCTGGTTTGAGATTGATTGTGGGAGAAGAGATCGTAAACCAGGGGGGTTGGTGGAAATCGAACGACCGAGGTGGGTTACCATGCAGAAGGGGGGAGCCAGAGGCCTGGGAGGGAGACGGGAGAAAAATTGAACAAATTGGAAGAAAACTTACAGTCCGCCAATAAAATCATGATAGTCAACGCAGCAAACGTGAGGACCGGGCTCGCGAGGTAGAGCAGGTGACTCCCCCGCTCAAACTCCCACTCCGAATCGTGCGCAAACGCCCGGCCGCGCCGATTCCGGCTCCGGCTCCGTTTCCGGCCGGTGGAGAGGGTGCCGACGTCGAGTGTGATGATCTTTTCCCCGCTTCCTCCTCCTCCTCCCCCGGCCCCGATGCCGTAGGCTTCGACTCCACCGCCACCGGATACCTTCCTCCTCTTAAGCTCCTTCTCCCTCGCCCTCTCCTCCTGGACCCCAAGCCGCGAGAGAAAAAGCAGCATACCCGGATTCGTCACTTTAACATCCTTCTTCCTCCCTCCTGGAAGTGCCTGCGTGCCAAAGATGCCCCCGCCGCCGTTCCCGTTCCCTCCCGCAGCGCCACCTCCGTAGCCGGACGCAGCGGACGTCTGGGCCGTGACAGCACCGCTGCTCCCTGCGACGCTATCGGCTGCTTGCTGGTAGTGCAACCCCGGCGCGAGGACGAGGGCGTCGAACCATGACGACGTCCCCGTCAGCGCGGTGCGGTTGGCGATGGTTTGTAGGTCTGCGAGGGCGACGAGGCCTGCTGCCGAGAGGGAGAGGCCTGGGATGGGTTCTTTAGACAGGACTGGGAAGGGCATGGTCTTCTTGGTCGTGTTGGTCGGGCTTGTTTGTTCGCCGTTGTGCGCAGCCTTGGGGAAGACAAGGCTTGACGATGAAGATGCTTTTGAAGGTGGCAGCTGGCGTGGATCTCTTATCTTGGCTGGACTTGATCTGGTAGGCGCCTTGAGCCTCACGCTGGTGACGTGGTCGAGATCCTCCGGCGGCGGTTTGTCACGAGGACGAGGATGGCATGGTTCGGAGCTCTTTTCCCCCGTCAGTGACGATGAAGAAAGAACTGAACAATATGATGAACCGGGATTTCCGTTGCGAGGAGCAGTCAACATGCAAAATACATGCAAACAATCAAAGAAAGTACCGTCCGAATGACCTTGGGCTGCAGGGTTGCATCCTGCTGCGGGCTGACCCTTTCCCCCCTCCATCCCGCCCTCCTTTTGCCCCTCCCTCCTCTATCACTGCGTAGTGTATGTAGCTCTCCGGGCCTCCAAAGTTTCCCAGCCTCTCTCTTCCCCTCCAACCCGACGCTATTACGTGCATGTGAAGTCGCAGCCAAGCTTGGAGCCGTTGCGAACGATGGCGCTGACGTTGGACCCCCACCTACCAACGCTAACTTGCGCCGGCGTTGAATCTTACTCCGCATCTTAGGATTCCCGATTACTTTACCCCACCTAGAGTGTCAGACGCCGGCCGGCCGGCGCCGGATAGGCCCGTTTTTGTCTCAGACAGAGGAGTTTACAAATAAGCTTAAGTCGAGTTACCACGGATGGTTGGGATGTCGGGTACTTGATAGTGATAGAGGGCTACGCAAAGTTATCGACGATAAGAGACAAAGGAGTTGAAGGAGACGCAAGGATTGAGGAAATATCAGGGTTCATAAGCCCTTGAGCATACAGACTTGCTGGTGTACTATAGGATTCGGAGATGAGTTTGTGTCTGCGGCAATGGACCTTGGCTTTGTTTTTGAACCATCTCGTCCTCGGACTACACGTTCGGTGAGCAGAACGACGGAGGAAATGCGGATCTGATGTGTGCTTCAATCGGTGTGTGATAAAAAGGGTCTCGAGTAAGATGGGCTTCAGTACTTACATCCAAGTGAACTTGAGAACGAAAAGTCAAGAAAGACGGTTCTCGGCCCTCGACATATACACAGCCTCGGCCTTATCGTTGCATGCGTCTGAGACTGAAATGTCTTACAGGTGTTTGATGGCAGTTATATGAGTGAGTACCCGGGTAAAGCTGCCTGTGCTTATTCCATGGATACCAGTGGGTTCACTCAAAGAAACCGGTAAATCGACAGATAGACTTGATAGACGGCAGACCAAGGGATTGAGATCTGTGTCCAGAAAATCTGAGACGTAGGCTGAGTAAGGACTTTATCATTTCTGGTCAGATCTTCTCACAAACAGGAATTAGTGGTGTTGAACGAATTGCTCGGTCTATGGCGCGTCATTAAGTTAAGAATTACAAGCTCTCCCTCAACATTATTACAAAAAATAAACGGTCAACGCGACATTTGCAGACCGAAGTTGGGGCAAGGCTACTAACGTAGCTTCAACAAAATACAAGAAATGCTCCAACGAGGATTCTTATACAAAGACTGGATTCGGCATTAGAACACAACCATGGCCAGATAATCACCAACCAATTTCACTCATCCTGTGTCGTAGCCTTGTCAAAATACACAAAATCAATTCAAATTCACCCAGATTAAGATATTGAGGCATCGTCCATCAAGATAATACTAGGAGATAGTTCATCTGCGTAGATGACCTCGGCCGTGACCACAAAAGCCTTGCACCAACATTCTCATCCATACCTCAAAAGTCCCGGTATACCCTCCCTCGACCCCGAAGACAGAAAGGCACCTCACAAGAACGGCCCCAAAATCTCCATCGTCAATTCCCAAACCTTCCCCTGCACATCCCCCCTCAACGCCTCCAAAGCACTCTCACTATACGAAACCTCCCCCTTATGATTCACCAGAAACAGCCCATTCCTGCCCTCCTCCCCCCTCGTATTCTTACACCCTCCCACCCCATCACCACTCTTGCCGTCCCCCTCCTTCATCCCCCCAAACCGCTCACTCGTCCCCAAATAAACATGCCTCTCCCCCGCCTCCCGTTCCTCGAACCCCATCACCAAAAACAACGGCTTCAACAAGTTCGTCAACGGGAACGGACTCCACCACGTCGGCGTATGATACCGCGCCATGTTCCCCGTATCCACCGCCCCAGGCCAATTATGCACGAACCCGACTCCCGCGTTGACCGGGTCGGCGGCGAGTTTATCTAGAAAGAGAGTGTTCATGGTCGCCATGTGTGTCTGCGTCTTGAAGCCAAAGAGCCTGCTGCCGCCGCCGCTGCCGCCGCCACTGCTGGGTGACGAGCGCGTAAGGTTGAGGTCTGTTGCGTCGATGCGGGTGGAGAGCATGCTGCCTGCCAGAACGGTGAGGATGCGCGGGGTGGGGCCCGGGGAGGGTGAGGTGGATGCGGAGGCGCGGAGGAGGGGGAGGAGGTGGAGGGTTGCGAGCATGCGGGAGTAGTACTCTAGAGAATGGCAGACATCTATCCCTTCCGAGGTATCTACCATCGAAAACACAAGAAGATCAGCATTATTACTTCATGCGGCCACGTTCGTGACTTCATCATAGTCAGACAAGCCACACTTATACTCACCATTCCGCCCCCCAAAAGGCGCATACCCAGCCGTCAAACACAAAAAATCAAGACTCGTCTCCTTTTCTTTAACAACCTCACACACCCTCCTCGTCTCCGCCAGCAACGAAATCTCCGCCTCAACCCAAATCAACTCGGCCCGGGGATTCTTCTGTCTGAGGTCCTCGAGGACAGGCCTCATCGCCGGCTCTGTTGCTTTCCGGCCCGCAATGTAGACCCGGATGGGATGGCCGAGGGACACGAGCTCGATGAGAGTGAGCTTGCCGATACCCGATGTCCCGCCGAAAAAGACGGCCGTTCGGGGCGCGGTTTGTGCCGTGAGGGCGGCGTTGGAGTGTTGGACTTGCGCGCGGGTGACCATATTTCTTTTTGGCGTGATTAAAGTCGTAAGGGAAGTTTTGAATGAAGAAGATATTGGAACAGCGCCCTTACGAATGCAAGAGTAAGAAAACAAAGTCAGTGGTAATCAATTCCCTTACTCGGTGAAACATTCAATCATCTTTATACACCACGACATCGAAGCTTCGGATAGCTTCGCATTCCTCACCGGGTTAGCACCACCGGGATAACAAGAAAGCGGAGTTTGCGGACCACGCTAGTACCGAACGTAGGCGCAAGCCATCGGAGCATCAATCTCTGGGTTGCCTGCCTACTAACTGGGGGGATTTATCATTGTGCATTCCTTCAATTGGCAGCCCACCACAAAACCCCCGTCTCAATCCATCAAGAACGTCTGTGTTTGACCAACGACGCCTGTGTCAACGCCGACTATCCGGGGCGCGGGCGTGGAAGTGGAGTACGGTCCTTCGCATTCCCGATCCGGTAAGCGAAGCACTCCACTTCTCCGTGGTCGCCGGCCGGTGAGTGTGCCTCCCGACAGCGAGAATCTCTCAGGAGGAATATATGATGAATGGCATCTTCTTCTCAGGCCACGGGAACAAGATTATTGAAATATGGAAAAATCATCAAGCCCACGAGATGGTTGTCCGGACTGGAGAGTTGTCTGAGGGAAGCGATTTAGGACGCCGTACGGGTCAAGATCTAGAACCAGCGGGTTTAGGGATTAGTCTATCCCGTCGGAGAAATCAAGATGAGTGGGAAATGTTAGTGCGAAATGGCTTATACGAGTGATGGCTAGACATCTGCATTAACCCTACTTAGGCAGGACCTCGCCGCAACGACTATGCGTCATCTATCCTCCAGGTCAGCATCAAACCCCTCGACTTGTAAGTTGTTAGATTGATGAGTCAGCGGGGTGAGAGCAGGCAAAGCGAACTGAAAACCCTCCGCCAGGAGACGAGTCAAAAGTCTTGAAGTTTTCAAAAGACCCTTGGCCTCCTCGCCTCCTGTCCACCAATAAGCAATTTTGGCGAGAAAGACCAATGTTTCGTGATACGCGGCTGGGGTCGCGCGCGCTCTCCATCATCAAGGGGGCTCCACGTTTCGAGTCGGCGATCATGGGCTGAGTATTCGTACATGACATGACCCAAATCTGAAAAGTGCGGAAAGAAAACATCATTTGACGGCATGACTTTTGGTTTATATGTGATTGATGTGGCCGTGAAAAAAGCGATGTCCACCTTCGACCGCCAGTCTTCGATCTTTTCAACCTAGTGCTGTTCACTTGCAGCAACCGTCGACACTTCATTGCGATTAGGGTCTGGGCAATAGAAGCTTATTTTTGCTGGTGTCTCTCGGCGGACGATAGAGGCCTGCACTAGCGAGCGGAGAGGCACGGCGGGACAAGCAGCCAAGCGCCAAGTGCTGCAGGGCACGATGGAACGTCCAGACGCCGAGAAGTGCGACCTGGACAGGACCAATCGCCAATTTCCAGCCCTGGAAGAATTAAGGATGTCTCACTACAAGGGATAGAAGCAAGCTTGCTGAGGTTGCAACATGCGGAGAAGAGTTCTAGTACGACGTTAGCTACTCTCAAAGCAACGGTAAGTGCTTGGCGGCGTTTGTACCCGCAATGCGAATGCAGTGTTTTCCAGCCCATCTTTGCAACGGAACGGAGAAGTGGCATCCGAACTGGGGCGACCAGTCTGCTGCGGGACGCGAGGGACGCGAGGGATGCGAGGGATGCGTATGTTCAGCTTCAACTCCGTGTTGGAATAAAGAAAACCTCATGCCCAGGGGTATTTTGCCGTCCTCACTACCAGCCAAGCTGATCTACTCTGGAAAGACGCAGTCATGAGTGCTGTCGCCGCGGCATCGTCATGCTTATAGAGCCCTTTTCTTTCAAGGAGTGGCGGGTTTCCATTCTCTTGCCGCCTTTTGATGCATTAGGTCCCTCCTCAGACAAATGCTCAGCACCGTAGAACCGATACACGAGTTCCATGTAGACAGACTCTTAAGTGGCAAGAGAAGTAACGCCAGTGTTTCTCGCTGAGACGTTCCGGCCGCGGTGCGGTTCATCCTGGGTCAAGTGACAGTGACAGCGTAGACAATGCAGATCTTGCGGATGTTGGATGAACCGATTGACAGGCCGAATATTGCGGGCGGTGCTGACGAAATATGAGGAGAAGTCGTCTTGGCTCACGTTCGCCTGTGACCAGTCACCGGCTGCGTGGTTTATGCGTCGCAGGAAACTGGCCACAAACCCTTGGTGATGATAGAGATGACGACGTCCCTTGGTCACCAAGTCGGCATTCGGGATTCGCCAAGACGACTCTGCTGAGGACTGTCGTTGGACCTTATGGGCGACGTCGCATTCAGATTGAGTTCTCTTGTGGATGATGGAGACGAAAACGCTGGGCAACTTGGCAAGTCGTCGGCAAAGATGAGGTCCCAAACGAATAGCGAAAGCGAAGACCAGCGCCGATGTCGAGTTGAGCAAGTTGCGCGCCGGACACCGAGGACGGACCATCGAGTGGTCTAGGCAAAGAGAGGGCGTCAGGCCTACCCAGCGGGAGGGTAAGTCTTTCTGCTCTCGGTGGGTTCAAGAATCAGGTCGTTCAGTCGGGACCACTGTCAAATGGCTGGCCGGCAGGCAAGTACTGGGGCGAAGGCCATGGCAGTGAGCCTGTAGAGACTTGAGAAGATGGGGATAGCTTCTTGAATTCCCATGTCGTCGTTAAAACATCAGACGCGGTTCTGGTAGACGCTGGGACTTGGCGCCAAAGGAGGGGCCATCTGACGTTTGGAGCGCGCCAAGGAGCTTCAGATGAAGGCAGGCGGTGCCGACGGGGAGGTCGAGACGGTCGGCGGGAGCGCGGAGAGGGATGGCATGGCTGACATATGGGGGCGCGGCGAGGCGTAGCACTGGTGATGGACAGTTGCGTGGGTTGCAGAAGTCCGAACTTTGACGATGTAGGCAAGTAACAAGGTAGGTTGATTCGTAGACTGGCGTAGCTGGTAGAGAATGGGAGGGACCGGGGTTGAAGAGCAGACGAATACTACCGCGTAGGCGATATCGTTGAAGACAATTGGTGAAGTTGAGATGCGGAGGTGGAGGTTTGTCGCAGGCCCCGGCAGTTTGGAAAGGCGTGAGACGCGCCCAGAAGAAATCAGGAGGTGCAAGACTTGGCGAGAGGCGCGGCCAGCGAATGTAGTCCTAAAGCGGCCCGTTAGTAGGCGGCCTACAGCAGGTAGAGGCGCTGTGGGGGGGGTTAAGCGAGGGGATTAGCGGTTAGGAAACCTGGTTAAAGGCAGGTTATCCGTTGCAGGGAAGATGTTTCCAGCGGTGTACCGCCTGAATGGAACACTAGGGTACACACCGGCCAGGCGCTCCCACATCACGACGCTTCCTCATTGGCAGTTTTCCATCGCCGAGTCAGTTGGGTGCGGACTTGAGGTTAAGTCGAACCTCCCGTTCACTGTGGTGGCGGCTCAGATATTGTCAGTCATCACCAACTTCCCCCCCTTCCACTTCCGCCCCCAGTTTGACTTGGCAACCATTCAACCTCTTGGCCCTGCAAAAATCAGCTGTTTTCTTCACTCTACCCCTTCTTCTTGTCATCCCTTCTCACAAACCTCTCACCTCTCGACGGGATCCAACGTCTTTTCAGTCTTAGCGTGTCTGTCAGACATGTTGTCGGGCTCTCCTCAGTCTTTACCTGTAGCTTGGCTGCAACGCAAGGAAGAAAGAAGTGATCTGGACTGCGGTATCCGAAAGGTAGGAACGTGCTTCATCTGAGGTGCTTCAGCTTGTACCGGGTCTTGCCATGCGGTCAACTTGCTCTTTCCTGCTGCGGTCTGGAACTGGCTGCTGTGTGTCCCGTGCGTCGTCTCAGCACGCGGTGACGGTTGGGAAAAGCGGGTCCGAATGCCCATGTGTCGTCCGAACAGACTCAGCGTGACAGAGACAGGCAAGAGCAGGAGGTTGTGCATGGCTTAAAGGCTGTTAAGGTTTAGAGCGCTACCAATGGTGAACAAGGTTTTTTCTGACGGCGGCCTCATCCCTGGTTGCTTCTTGCCATTACCTTACTCTTGCCATAGCTGCCACGCGTACGAGTAGAGCAGGAACGACTAGATGGTTCCTTACAGCTCTACCAGGCTCACCTTACCTGACTTACCTAGGTGCCTACCTACCTACGGATGTGCGTCCCTAAGACGGAAGGAAAGAGCAGGCTTGGGGATACCTTGCCCTGAAGTTGCTACCCAGACCATACCTTACCGCAGGCATCGCACCTACCATCTTTTCTTTACATCTCTAACGCCCTTACCTAGTCGAGGAAGGAGACACATGCGGATACCTCCCAGGTAGGCAAGCACGGATAACTCAGCAAAGAGCAGTCCCTTCCTTTCCTTCTCAACCAGCCTGTTACACGTGGTCCAGGGAAAGTCCGAGAGATACGTACCAATGGCCCACCTTGCCATGGCACCTTCCATCGTGCCTGAGTCTCGTGCTGGGGCAGTGGCAAGTGCTGCTCCCCGCCTTCCAAGCTCTTGGTATTCTCTTGGATGCATTGCTCGGCCTCTTGGACAAAGAGCCTCAACTCTTGACTCCCGTCTTCTCCTAGACATCACTCCCGCATATTCTTCCGACTTCGACTTGGCCAAAGCCGCTCTTGTCGTCGATCCTTCCAAATGCTTATTTTTAGCCATCCTCCCGCTTCTTGGAGATTACTTGGGTGAATGCCTTCATTCAGCATCATCGAGCATGATGGTGTTGATATCCAGCTGGTCGTCTCAAGAAGATCACCGCTAAGATGATCTTTGGGAAGGGGGCTTCGTCTCCGTCCGAACCAGCGCTTCTCTCCCAGCCCTCACTTCAACTCCCACATGGAGACTCGTGGAACGCGCACCGCAGGGGTCTTGTCTACAGCCGTTGACTTGGCCAAGCACCAAAATCACAAAGTGGCCATATTCCCCACACCCCGTCCAACCCTCCGGAGCCTGGCAGTTTCACCCTGGCGACGGGCTCCCATCCTGTCAACTCGACCAGGGTCACAGGGCCCTGGCTTCCGCTCTTCTTGTCCAAACGGCCCTCTTCCTCCTCCGTCTCAATAGCCTCGCCCGGCCTTGGCCGCTTGTCCTCGATGATCAATCCTGGTCCATATTCCAGATGACATGCAGTCGCATTGGATGGAGAAACTTGAAAGCCCCCTCCCATTCTGCGCCAGAAACACGCCCGCGATACCATGGGAAACGGAGGCGCTCATCCCCAAACACACAGGGAACCCTCAACCTCATTCATCAACCCGTTCTCTTTTTCCTTCTGAGCCTCTCACTGCTCCTCAACACCCTGGATGAAGCACACGCCAAGATCCTCACCATGATTCCGTCCCTCGCTGCTTATCCGCCCCGGCCATCTTCGCATGGGTTCTTGCCTATTGATGCTATTCTTGGACCTGTGAGGTAGATCGTCACGATAGCCAGCCCTCGACTCCAGTCTTACAGATCCAAAGTATATAGACATCATGCCATCTTGACGCAAACATAATCCTTCTCTCGGCTCATCTCGTTTCTCATCTTCATCATCTGTCTTTTCTTCACCTTTAACTTCCTTTCCCGTTCGTTTCGTTTCTTCCCCTAGAGGGCTGGTCATACATTTTTCCCTTCAATAATCTACTTTTTTGTAACTCGCTTCTATTCTTCCCTTCCTTCGATCCTTTGTAGGCCCCCAACGCGCTGGTCCCGTATCCTACCTCTATCACTATGTCTTCCCGTCTCATCACCTTCGGCTTCTTCGCCGCCTCCATCTCTCAGGTCCTGGCCTCGTGCGCCTACGGAACTCACTTGGATCCTCGCGCTGAGGAGGGAAAGGTCAAGGTCAACAACTTTGCTTATACCGGCAGCAATGTAAGTGGTATATTTTCACAAGAGTTTAGATAGATATCCAAGACTAACGATTTCTCAAAGGGCCCCTTGAACTGGGTCGCTCTGGATACTACTGCCAACCAACTGTGCGCCACGGGAACCACCCAATCCCCTATCGACATGGTCGCCGGCTCCTTCAACGTTCTCCCCGGAAGCTCCATCAACCTCGAGATCCCCGACATGGCCGAGGGCACCGAGTTCGAGAACCTGGGAACCACCGTCGAGGTTATCGCCAAGGGTGGATCGATGCAAGTTGGAGGCAGCAACTTCACCCTGCAGCAGTTCCACTTCCACTTGCCTAGCGAGCATCTCGATGCCGGAAAGAGCATGGCTATGGAGATGCACATGGTCTTCGAGGGTGCCAACCAGGAGATTGCTGTCATTGGTACCTACATCGACTTGGAGCAGGGCGCTGCCGCTGCTGCCCCCGCCGCCCCGGTCGCTGAGGCTGCTCCTGTTGCCGAAGCTGCTCCCGCTGGAGGAAACGCCACTGCCGAGCGTCGCACCAAGCTGGCCCGCCGCGCTGCTACTGAAGCGGCGGCCGAGGCTCCGAAGGCTATCCCCGCGATGGGAACCAACCCTATCAAGGCCGAGGCTGCTTCTTCCAACCTGCTTGAGACTGTCTTCTCTTCCCTCGATGCCATCAAGGAGCCCGGTACCGTCACCAAGACTGGCGCGCTGAACATGCAAGAAGTTGTTACCCTGCTCTCCGCCGGTAGCTTCCAGAGGTAGGATCCGTGTTTGTCAATCTCCTTTGGTTTCCAATGTCTAACTCATTTGCAGCTACATGGGTTCCCTCACCACTCCTCCTTGCTCCGAGGGTGTTCAATGGCTCGTCTCAACTCAACGTCTGATGGTCCAGCCCCAAACCTTCACTGCCGTCCGCGATGTCATTGGCTTCAACGCCCGATTCCCCCAGAACACCCTCGGCCAGGCCAACATCATCCAGGTCGCCCAGCAGAGTCTGACTACCGCCAACATTGCCAACCCCATTGCTGCTGCTCCCGCTGTCGCTGCTCCTGTTGCCGCTGCTCCCGTTGCCGCTGCGCCCGCCGCCCCCGCTGCTGAGGCTGCCAAGGAAGCTGCTCCCGTCGCCGCCCCGGCCGCTCACGCTTAGATGATCTGTAGCCGGCAGTCGACGAGGACAGCGAAAGAATCAGTGTCGCGAAGAACCATTGCGACTCAGCTGACGCAGTAGGCTGGGCCAGGATGTGCAAGGATGCTCGATGCCTGTTTTGAGTTCACGTGTACCCTGGTGGCATGCCGATGGATGGAGGATGGCCGACGGAAAAGCAGTCCTCGGGCGATGCATTTGCAGTTGGGACAAGATAACCTTAACACCAGCCAGCTGCGCGCATTTGTACAGACATGACTAATTGATGGAAAGTTGTACCTGGGCACTTGTCTTTGGATTTTACTTGTCTGTGTGGCATGTGGGTTGATCTGTAATTACCGATGCCTCTTCGACGCCCAGTCCCAATAGGCCCAAGTGCAGAGAACGATATCGAGACAGTGGACAGTGGGGGAGATACCACGGGGCTCTGGAGTCCCAATGCATAGCAGTATACTGAGTCAAGAAGCATAATGGTGAATAATGATAAGATGGGCATAGATAGATAGACAGAGACAAAAAGTAACACGAGTCAACTGCAGCTTATCGCACCCACGGAGTAGTTCAGGTGACCATGTGTCCCGACGCCGGGATCCAGGTGAATGTTGTGTCGGGAATTCCGAGTTGACGAGGACGAGGTTCCCACGTAGATCACGGGCGAAGATGTACCCATCAAGAGAAAGCTCTTGGTGTTTGGCCAAGATACCAAGGTAGGTGAAAATAGAAGCGTCATTGTCATGCTTTGAATCTAATCAATCTGGGAGAAGGTTCAAGACACTTCAAGAGCTGCAGTGTACTTGATTGATAAAAGGGAGAAGGTTCCGTGCAGAGCGCATCTTATTAAACGCTCTTGGTGGCCGGCTTGGCGGCTACTGATTGATTGCGCGGCTTTTTTTGAGATCTGTTATGCGCCGCTTTATCTAAAGTATGCTCCTTGGTGTATGTCTGCCCGTTTTCGCGTTTGGCTCGCAAGGATAGGCTAGGTTACTATTGAGAGGAACTGTGCTTGGTGTTTGAGGGTTTTAGAGACGTGAGTCGTGGTGGCTGGACAGGAAAGGCACTGATGCGCCGGTCCGGGTCGGTCGGTTCGGCACCCTCAATGTCCCAAGTGGGGGTGATTGCGAAAGGGGGGAGAAGAAGGAGGATTAAGAAAAGGTGCCGGCTGGCCGGTGACGATGTTTTTCCCACGTGGTGTGTTGGGGGGACGTGCTGCTTTTGGAGGATATTTTGGGGGCCAAGGACCAAGGTGTCGGGTGTTTTGCTTGGGGTGTGTTGTGTTTGTAGCGGTTAGATTGAACGTTTGCATTGGAAACAAGGTTTAAGTACCTAAAGGTAAGTGAAGACGATGAGGTAACTAGAGTGCCCTATGTTGATGAACAGCGGCCGCTGAAGTTGACGCGGATGGAATTTGCTTTTGCATGGGGTTCTTGTGGTAGAGGGTAGTATATAAGGAGAGTTCGATCGTGTTCTTGGTGCAATGAAGACACAGCAGTGCACCCACGAAATCTTTCCCTCGGCAGATGCGCATCACTGCTCTGGCGTGGACTCAATGCAGTTGATGGTTTCATATATCGAAGGGAAGACGTAGCTTTAACATTGTCGGATATCAGTTCAGGTACTAGCAAAGTATCGTTGCTCTCTATCTTGGGAATAAAGGGACGGTATATACAGAATGTTACTGAGGGCAATGGCATACAATTATGAGTAATTTGCCCGTCCAGAAAGGACAGAGATATCCAATCTGGGACTTCATGGGTTAGATACCTGTCTGTAGCTAGAGCTTTCTAGAAGAAGCCCCGGGTCGCCTAGAAGCACACTAGTCTTTGCTCCCTGGCTCATTCTTTTATCTTTCTATAGGTTTGGTAAATAGCTCTATCATATCTCAACCCGCGTGGCTGGGCTCTGAGGGGAGAATCGTAAGGCTGGCAACAACGCAGGAAGCGGCGAGGCGTTCTTGCATTGCTGATATCGTTGTATGATGATTTGGAAGAGGAGGGACGACACTTTGGCCATCTATGATATTTGATCTCGCATTGTGATACGGATAGATGGCAGTTGTAGTTAATGGAGCGACTTCCTTGCAAGCGTAGCCGGTGGGCGGGTGATGCACGATGGCTCATCGGGAAAAGTGGGCCTGGCCATCGGCGCCGGGCCCGGTATTGGTTAGAGGTATGGGGCCGGGACGGTAGCGCTTACTTCGCATCAATATTTCCTTCCACTGACGATTCATCGAGAAGGCAAGTTTTCGAATTTTAGGAAGGCTGAAGGAAGAGTTCGATTAGAAGAGAGCATATAAAGACTCACGAGCGCGACTCTGTGTTTCTCTCAAGCAGACATATTCCGCCTTAATAGTAAAATCACCAGAATTACAAGAACCCAAGCCCGAGAACTCTCAGGATGGTCGACCCCGCGGCACACCTCCCACCCCTCTTCACACCAACCCGCCTCCTCGCCTTTACAACCTCCCTTCAACTCCCACCACCAACCCACACAGAGCCCCTATCAGTAACAGCAGCCTTCCACAGCATCTACCTCCTCCACTTCCCCCCGTCTGCCGCCGCCTACCTCGCACCAGCACGTCCCAACGCAGACGGCACAACAACCCTCGTTCTCCGCATAGCAGGCCCCCACCTCCCACACATCAAAACAGAAAACGAAGTCGCCATGATGCGCTGGGTCCGCGAGCACACCTCCGTCCCGGTCCCCGCCGTACTACGCTGGGATTCCTCGTGTGCGAATGTGCTGGGGTATGAGTTTACGTTGTTAGAACGGGTCCCTGGGTGTAGTGCGGATAAGGTGTTTTGGGAGATGGGAGAGGATGCGAGAAGGAGGCTTGTTGAGCAGCTTGTGGGGTTTCTTGCGGAGTTGTGGGAGAGGTCGAGGGGCGTGTGGAGGCATGTTGGCGGGTTGAGGGTCGGTGATGGGGGGGAGATTGTGCCGGGCCCGGTCGTGGATGAGTGGTTTTGGATGGAGCCTGAGATTAGAATGTATTGGGATGGGGAGACGCCGAAGACGTTGAATCCTGCTCAAGGTGCGTTTTCGGGGTGGGCGGAGCTTCTTGATAAGAGTGTTGAGAAGTATGTCTATGCGATTGGGAGGCATGCTTCGCTGGAGTGGATGAGGGATCTCATGCCGCGGTTGGAGGCGTATCGGGAGTATGTTGGGGTTCATGCGGATGAGATGGATGATACGCTGTTTGTTCTCTCGCACCGGGACCTGCATCTTGCTAACGTCATGGTTGATAAGGACGGCACGGTGACGGGGATATTGGATTGGGAGTTTGGCGGCGTGGTGCCCGGACCGAGGTGGGATCCGCCGAATGCGTTCTTGTTTCCTTGGGGCGGAGGGGATGATGAGATGGTTGCGAAGGCGGAGAGGGAGAGAATGAGGGGGTGGGCGAGGGAGGTTTGTCGGGAGAAGGGAGTTGAGGTTGAGGTTGTGGCTGGCTGGCCTTACAAGGGCGTCCAGGAGACGGTGCAGAGAGTTGTGAACTTTACGAGGGCGATTTGTGAGGTTTGTCCTAGGGAGAAGGGGGAGAAGGCGAGAGCGTGGAGGGTGAGTTTGGAGAGTGAGTTGACGAAGCTAGAGCTATGATCGGTATCATGTTAGATGTTTACAATTAGAAGTCGCATTTCAACTATTACATTATGATCAAGGTATCTCTTACATCATCTACGCATAGAAAAGAACCCTACAAGACGAATAACACCAATGCTATCCCCATAAGATGGCCAAAAATGACTCCACCTCTGCTTCATGACTCCCTGATTTCTAAAGCTCTTGTTCAAACATCACGCCTTCACCTTCTGACCCGGCCAAACTCAGCTAGCCTCGACGCAGGCCTGCTTCCATCCAGCTCAGCAAAGTACTGTGGAACAGGCAACTCTGTCACTTCTCGACGGTGCCTTTCGTGCTGATGAACGTAGAGTTCATGATACTGTGGAGTAGGAGACGTGAATTTGTCCGGCTCGAGAGGCCTTGCATGATGCTCTTCAACGTCCGGTGCAGTCTCTTCTACCAGCCGCTTCTGTCTGCGCTTCCTGCGCCGCACATATAATCCGAGGATGACCAGCGCGATGACCCCTACCGCAGCGCCTACGCCGACTCCGACAGTGGTAGACAACGGGAGACCTGTGGGCTCGGGCGTGGACGTTGGTGCCGAGGGCGAACGTGTCATGGTTGATGCGGTTTTGCGAGGAAGGGCGGGGATAATGCTGTTGACTGCGTCTGTGGCGGATGGAGTTGCGTCAGTCCCGGTGATGCTTGCTGTTGAAGCGGCTGCTGTCTCCCCGAAAGTCCAACCTAGTACTGCAATAGCACCGACGAAGCCCGGCTGTGTGAGAGTTGATGTCACCATTTTCCAGCTCAGAGTGTTAGGAGCGGACGTCGCCGCGTAGGTAATCACCGCTCCAGATAGGAGATCCGAACGGCAGTCTCCTTCAACCAATCCAGGAATGTTTCCGATCAGAGTGTAGTCTCTACGGCGACGTATCAGTATCTAAAAGCCCTCCAGAAAAGCATCGATGATACTCACCGTGGGCAGCACATGGCAAGTGTACTGCTGGTGCCGTTCTTGACCGAAGTCGCAACCGTAGCCCATCGTTCAGGACATACCAGAGGCCCGATACTAATAGCAGTATGGCCCTCGCCAGAGTTGAGGCCTAGACGACCTTGTTCCCACCACGTCGTGACTGCTGGCGGGGCACATTTCACTCTGGCGTCAATACCGAGGCCGTAACCTGGGTCATACGCCGCGAGGGAGAAGCCGTTGAGGCGGTAGATTGTCGAACAGCTCGTCGGTGGTGTGAAGGTGGTCGGGAGCGCTATGAAGGACGTGACGGTGCCGTTTTCGTCTGTCACAGCGGGATATGCTGTCGCCATTGTCACCGAAGCCTCCAAGCTGTGTTATCCATATGTTGAGATAGTGATGATGAGGGGGGAAAGATGATGAAGTTGCTCAGGGCTTTCTTTCAGAGGATTCGACGAAGGCGAAGTTGATCTATCTGCTGCCGATACTGAAGGCTGAACGCCCGCTTGCCTTCCAAACCGATGGAACTGGCATGTTGGCACTCTTGCATCGTTTTCACATGATGGGTCCCTCCAAGATTGCGCTGTCTTTCTTTGTTGGTTCCGACTTCGATTCCCACGTTTAGACGACAGGGGGTTCATCTTTGCTTGCATTGTGGATGAAGGCCATAATTTGGCCTGGCCTGAGGTAGTTTCTGAAGAAAATGTCCAGCGCTTGCGCATTTCGAAAAACAAGGACCCAGAACGGACAACAAGCGGTGCAAAGATTGTGAGTCTTACGGCCGCAGTTGCCCAAGCGTAGCGCGCGGCACAAGACAGGAAGAATCCCCGAATATCCGTAACGACTTCCAACATCGTGCATTTTTGTGGAACCCCGGCGAATGGACATCGTGAGATCTCGCGATGCCAAGATTTAATCAGGTCGTCACCAACTCTTTGGTATCCAATTGAATGGCAAGGCGCTTGTTGTCTCCTTACAATGCCTGAAAGCGAACTCCCGAGGAAACTTCCTCTTTCATCCTTGGAACATGGTTGCAATTTAGCGCCCGTTGGTGTCGTTGTTCATCGGGTACCTCTTCCCAGCCTGCAGGCAAGGCCCAGGGCGCTAAGCCCTGGCGCTTCTGATTGTTGGTTTTGAATTGGAGGACATGTCCATCCCTCCGGTCCTTTTCAATGAGACCGATTCCCCTTCATTGCGGTCTGGTAGAACGGTCGAATGGTCCTGAATCAAACACGCTCGTTGATCGCAGCAAAAAAAACAAAAAAAACAAAAAAACAAAAAAAAACACCACGATGGGCTCCTCACCGAATCGACGAAGCCGCAGCTCACCTACACGATCCAAGGCCGCTGGTTCGGCTGGTCGCAATACTCGGATCGCCATACAGTTGTCCAACGAGAGAAAGAATTCACTGAAACGGAGGATACGCAATGTCCTCATTGGCGCTTTCATCTCTGGAATACTTGTCGTATGCTTTAGAGGATACTTCTCTGATAATGCTCTCGGGCACACGCAGTACAGCCCGCAGGGCCAGTTCGTCGATTGGGACGACAGAAGAGAGGAAGTGAGAGATACGTTTTTGACAAGCTGGAATGCCTACAAGAAACACGCATGGGGTAAGTTGATCTACATGTAAATCTTCACATCGTCCGAACGCAACTAACCTATCGACTCTTTCCAAGGCAATGATGTCTTTCATCCCCTGTCCAAGAGAGGAGAAAACATGTCCCCCAAGGGCTTAGGCTGGATCATCGTCGACAGCCTGGACACGATGATGCTCATGAATCTGACCCAGCCCCTCGCCGACGCCCGAAGGTGGCTGCACCGCAGCCTGACCTGGGATCAAGACCAAGACGTTAACACCTTTGAGACCACAATCCGCATGCTGGGCGGTCTCCTCTCGGCACACTATCTCTCGACCCAGCTGCCGCATGCCGCTTCCAAGAGAGACTCCGTCTACCTCTCCAAGGCAATCGATCTAGCAGACCGGCTCCTGGTCGCGTTTGACTCCAACTCTGGGATCCCGTATGCGAGTGTCAATATCGGCAAGAGGGAGGGCATCGTCTCGCATGTAGATGGTGGGGCATCGTCTACAGCTGAGGCTGCTACCGTGCAGCTTGAGATGAAGTACCTCTCTCACTTGACTGGGAACGACATCTACTGGAAGAAAGCAGAGCGCGTCATGAAGGTGCTGGATGACCAGAAGATGGAGGGCGGTCTACTTCCCATCTTCGTACATCCAAGCCACGGACAGTTCACGACGAGGGAGATTCGGCTCGGAAGTCGAGGTGACTCGTACTATGGTAGGAGCAAGCACCCCTTTACGAGCTACCCTGAGATTGATACCCTATAGAGTACCTTGCGAAGCAGTACCTCCAAACAGGCGAAGCTATCTACCGCGACATGTGGGACGACGCTTTGGGCGGCATCGCAAAACACCTCATCACTACAACGCGGAATGCAGCGCTGAAGTTCGTCGCGGAGCTTCCTAACGGTGTGGGAGGAGCGCTTTCTCCCAAGATGGATCATCTCGTCTGCTTCATTCCGGGCACAATCGCCATGGCTGTGAGTCTCTCACGTCTCTCACTGTATCATTTTATAGGGATGTGCCGGCTAAACTTCATCGTGACAGGCAACAGAAGGGCGGTCCCTTGCGGAAGCCCGTCGCGACCCGGGCTGGACACAGCAGCATGAAGACGACATCGAACTTGCAATCGAGATCATGAACACCTGCTGGGGCATGTACGCCGTCACTGACACGGGTCTCGCCCCCGAGATTGCGTGGTTCAACGCTAGTGAAGCGGACTTACAGCCCCGGCCCGGCGATAGATGGCTGCGCAAAGAAAGCAGTGGTACGTCGTCGTCTTTCTCACCACCTTCCCAAGCAAAGAGGCCTTATGCTGATAAAATGCATAGCACTGTCGAAATGGAAGAAAGACTTCATCATCAAGCCTCTTGACGCTCACAACCTGCAAAGGCCCGAGACAGTAGAGAGTCTGTTCATGATGTACCGCATCACTGGCAACTCCATGTACCGAGAATGGGGCTGGAAGATCTTCCAGTCGTTTCAGAAGCATACTCTGGTGCCCGACGGAGAGGGGTACACTAGTCTGAATGATGTGCGGACGGTGCCTGCGACAACAAGGGACAACATGGAGTCTTTTTGGCTGGTAAGTCGTGCCTAAATCAATTGATTAAAAGTTACCCACAAAGTTGATATCGAGCTGACGTTGCCGACTGCAGGCCGAGACTCTGAAATACTTATACTTGCTGTTCTCGCCGGTAGACTATATGCCATTGACAGAGGTCGTCTTCAATACGGAAGCGCATCCTCTGCCGAGATTCACGCCAAGGAGTTCTTTGAAGACTGGTTGGGAAAGACTGCCGAGATGATTAGCCATTTGTAGATCGTCTCTTATATCTCAGAGTTATGTAAAGTAAGGTATCAATGACTCCAGCCATGAGAGTGCGAGCTCCGCCACTGGGGATAGAAGATAGCGAGCGAAAGGTGTAGAGGAAGCGGCAAATGAATGACTTAGAGCACAGAAACTTTTAAACAAAGAATAAAACCAAATTAAGCAATGTTGCATATGTCGATGTTCCTCGATACCATGTAATATGTTCATCATGTCATGCGTCCTCTCCTGATGCTAGCCCCACGAGATACGCACCTCTAGTAGCCTATCATCTATGACCACAAATAGTCTTAATTTAGAGCTTGACTCTGGATGAGTGCTGCTCATTCCAGACCTCGCAGTGTTTGTGATATTTATCAAGTCGATTTACCGGATTACAGCCCCATAGGAATGCCCATCTGTGTGAGGATTGGGAGGACTCTAGTTAGGCCGAATATGACTGCCTGTGTTGTTAGTGATGGAGGTTTGGGGTAATAAGATCTCCTCAGTTCCTGCTAGGAGCTCGGCAAGTGACAAAAAGCCCAGTCACCGAGATTTTGCCAACTTCAACGATATAGGTTCATTGGGAAGAGGAAATACTTCAAAAACTTAGTCCACAACAACACTTAAATCTGGAGTTTCACGTCGCTCCCGAGCATTACTTGCTATTTTTTGGCACCAACTCAAAAGGGAACCGCAGAGTATCTCGCACTCGTTTTCAAGCCGAATTTGAAAATATACCCGGACTGCTTAAAACTCGGCTTAAGAGTCATCAATGGGTATTGCTCGCCCTTGTTTGAGTTTCTTCCCCGTATGTAGAAAGCGATGGTTGGAGACAATACCCCACTCGGTTCCGCGGAGCTAGGGAGCTAGGGAGCCAGGGAGCTAGATGATGTTGGATCCGACTGAATGTAGTGCATCATCGCGCATGTCGGAATTCGGCTATCAACCCAAGCTATTTGAACCAGAAAATCTTCATGGCGTTCAAGCTTTCGGTTCCGAACCGAAAGCCATTGCCAAGGCCTTTATTCAAGGTTGGGGTACTCCAGAAAGTTCTCCGAAACTCGTTGGAGACAGACATCGAGACGTCAGACCGACTGACGGCAATCAGAAATTCGATCAAAAGCCGCAAGGGAATCTGGAGTTGACTTTTCGATAGCCACAATAAGATTCAGAGCACTCGCAAATCACACGACCAGACGATGTCATCTCAAAAAAGAAAAAAGAAAAAAAAAAGAGCCAACGCCCCGGTACCCCCCAAAGAGGCGTTTCGCCGGCGGATATGGAACGGTAAAGTATCCGGTGAGTTGCCGCAACTATCGGTGTTTATGCCGCTCAATAGCCGCTGAATTTGGTCCATGGTCACGCTTTCGTCCAATAGTAGCAAATTTCTCCGAACTCAACTCCACGTCTACACGTGTTGCTACGCAGAAAGTTGCGGGTTTATGAGACGAGTCAGTACCGTGTACATGCAATGCGCTACTTTAGTTTGGACCATCTGGGTAAATTTGGGCTCTGGAAGTCTCTACGTAGAGGTAGAGGGGCAACGAGGGGGGCCTCTTCTTCTTCTTCTTCTTCTTCTTCCTCTTCTTGAGTGCCATCACGCAAATGGCTCCTGGGATCATGTCAGCAACCAAGTTCGGGGTTCTTTCCCCTCCCCCGCCTCCTCCCCCACCTTGACGACGCCAACGACAAGCGGATGGCTTCGTTTTTTTGATGTCGTCGAGTGGAACCTGGTGCGGATTTGGTGCTGTTCCCCCACCATCCCACCCCATCCAACCCGTCCATGGTTCATGGATATCCATTCACCCCCGCTTACACGAAAGCTGTCGAGCGCATTGTGTTTTATTGGATCGCGGTCTCTCCGTCATCGGTATGCCTTGCCCCGAGGTTAGGTAAAACCAGACGTGACCCCTCGCTCATTTCTTCCAGACGGTCTCATTCTTTGATGTTTCTTCACGATCTCTTCAGTATTCAGATTATTCTCTCCTATCCCTCATAATGTAAGGCCTTTTGTGCTTCCCCGAGCTTCCAATTGGGACCAAATCACTGACATCTCATCTTCTAGATCTCATAAACCCTCCACACACGTCACAACTATGAAGCTCCTCTACCCCACCTCCCTCAAGCTCGACGTCGACAGCCTCCAGGGCTTCTCCGTCGATCTCGTCCCCTACGATGTAAAGACCACCATCCCCGAGGAGCACACAGACGCCGAGATCCTCGTCACCTGGACAAACTCAGCCGACAACCTCAAGGACGCCGCCGCCCGCCTCAAGAACATCAAGTGGATCCAATCCCTCGCCGCCGGCCCCAACGACGTCCTCAGCGCCGGCTTCGACACCTCAAAGGTAACAGTCACCACGGGATCAGGCCTCCACGACCACACCGTCGCAGAGCACGCCCTCGGCCTCCTCCTCAACGCCGCCCGCCGCTTCTACGAGATGCGCGACTACCAGCTCCAGTCCAAGTGGCCCGCTCACCTCGGCGGACCCCAGCCCGACCGCCCCGCCAACGCCTTCACCACCCTCCGCGACGCCCGCGTGTTGATCTGGGGCTTTGGCAACATTGCAAAGTCGCTCACCCCGCACCTCCGCGGCCTCGGCGCCCAGGTCAAGGGCGTCGCGCGCAGCGCGGGCATCCGCGACGGCGTCGAGATCTACGGCGAGGACAAGCTCGCCGAGCTGCTGCCGGAGACGGACGCCCTCGTCATGATCCTGCCCGGCTCAGACTCCACCAAGAACGCCTTGAATGCCGCGCGCCTCAAGCAGCTGCCCAAGCACGCGTGGATCATCAACGTCGGCCGCGGTACCTCCATCGACGAGGAAGCGCTTGTGGATGCGCTCGAGGCGGGCGAGGTTGGCGGTGCGGCGTTGGATGTGTTCGTTACGGAGCCGTTGCCTGAGTCGAGCCGGCTGTGGAAGGCGCCGAATGTGGTTGTCTCACCGCACGCTGCTGGTGGTCGGCCGCAGGGTGCTGAGGCGTTGATTGCGTACAACTTGAGGCGGTTCCGTGCTAGTCAATCATTGAAGAATGTCATCTGAGGTATGGCGGCTTTTGGAAATGGACGGAAAGCGTGGTTGTTGAATAATAGACATGATTGATACAACACTGAATACAAAACGGCCTTCATGATTCCCGAGTTCTACTTGTACAATGTCCTTTTCACCCCCTGTCCAACCACCACCAGACTACCATGCTCTGAGTGATCTCTCTCCGTCAGTCGTGTACCATCTCCTTCAAGAGTCGAAAGGTTCCGCGATCCTTTTCGCCCAGTACACTTCCTCGGCCCATGACCACACGGTGATGTCCAAGGTTTCCTTCCAGTCATGAGTCTTGCCCATCCATGCTTCATGGCAAGCCTTCTGCAGTGCATCTCGAGTCATCCCCTCGAGGTTCTGGTGGAATTTGCCATCTTCAAGCTGGCATCAATCCCGGAGCAATCGGCAACGGTCCTCTGCCGGAGTGCGGCCCACCTCCTGTTGAAGCCATTCACTCACCCGGAAGACAGCGTAATCTGCGACAGAATTCAACGGCATCACGTCAAACTCCTCGACGCAAAAGTCGTCCTGCGTGAGCTCCGTGTTTTCTTCCATTCCTCCCATGCGTGTATCCTCTCCATCACGATCAAGGTCTGGGTCCCGCAGGCCGAAACCCTTGAAGGCTCTAGTAAGCTTTATGCTTTTGCCGGTGATTACGATTACCTGAGCCCAGTTCAAGACAACATCGTAGGCCTTGGCCAAAATCAATCTATTCGCTTCATTGTCGATGACACCGGGATTGTATCCGAGAACAAGCGCCATAGCAAAACGACCACGACGGTGGACTCGTCCGACCGTGAAGAAGCAGACTGCATCTGGTAAACGATTTTGATGTTGCAATACGTTCCAGTTCAAGTCCGAGGACATCTTAACGGCAGAAGGGATGACGGCTTCGAAAGCCTTGCTGTGGGGATGCTCTCTTCCAGGAAAGACGTTGTTCCAGATCTCTTGACGCAAAGCCACAGTGGCTTCGTCGGTGTCACGTAAAAGGGTAGGCTCCGGCTTCATCAGGGAAAGACCCAATCTCTTGCGCTCCAAGGTGGGGAGGTAGTACCGTTGCTTGATGGCGTCCTTCAAGCCGTTACACCAGGCAGAGGCGTCTTCGGGGGTCACAGGCTTCACGGCGGGTTCGAGGTCAACCCACGGGAACGTCTCGTGGTCACCATTTTTAGCGACTATGCATTTTCGAAGAATGTCAGCAGAAGATCTCGAGCTTGATGTATGGGAGAACCGGTGCGATGGTACTAACACTTCTCATGGATAAAGTCCCAAACCTCAAAGTCCACAAACCAGGCGAACCATGCAGTGGAAACATTTTCGCGGCCCTGGCTTATCAGTAATCTAGTCGCTTCTTTAGCTTTCGCAGCCTGGAGGCGTTCGATGCCAAATCTGCGAGGGACCTTGAGCTTTTTCAACCTTCCTTCGACGACGTCCGCTCTCCGTTCCGCTGCGAGAGCGATGTTCCATTCTTCCTCGCTCTCGGTCGCCATTTTGTACCCGATTAATGCGTGCTCGATGATTGTTTTTGCGAGTTTGGAGTATTTTTGCGATGACTTTTCTTGAAATTGGGGGAGTGGCGGAAGAAGGAATTCTGGCGAGATGGAGGGGTGAAGAGTCCATAAGGCAAGTGCGAGAAACTCGAGGCAAGTGCTATGTTTTGGTCCTCTCTCCTACTTCGTGGGAGCAGGAAGGGAGCTCTGACTGCTCCTCGCACTGCTTCCATAGCGAGGGGGGAAAGCCCCTATCTAGCTTGAGGTCATCAGGTAGACGCCGACTGACTTTTGCTCGGCCGTGTGATATGAAGTACCTCAGGCTCTGTTGTTTCCTTCCCGGGTGGATGAAGATCTAAAACGAGGAGTTTCCGAAGATGCTTCTTTCTTTCAATCCCCTTAGAAGAGTGAAAATCTGAAGATGGTAAGATGTTGATAATGCACTTGATTGTGAAGTACTAGGGCACAAGGAGTTATTTTTGATGGAGTTCAACAACCTCAACTTAACAAAAGAAAATGAACATTGGTTTGAGTACCCTCTCATTCATAGCTTCCAGATAAAGGCATTTGCTGAAATGTTGAAAGAAGACGACGCTTTTCGATCTTCACCTAAGTACCTATGAGTTCGGGCACTTGGGGTTGACAAAGTAAGGTAGGTTAACCACGAGAAATCCATTTTCGGCTCTATGACTTGGTTTGCAAGACAAACAAAGTATCCCCTTATCCACGCTTAGTCTCAATCTGTGGCATCATCGTAACCTGAGATATGATACTAATGGGCGCCAACCTTGGGAACCGTAATTAGAGAGTTGGCTGAGATCAAATGTTACCTATATGGTATAGAAGTGCTTTTTCAAGTTAAGTGCAATCTTGTGTTGGGAAACTTCCAGACGAAGGTCCTACTTTTTGGGGCCTTCATCGTTTTCTAAAGCAGCAAGTTCTTTATGATTTACTCAGAACCCTTCGATTTCCTGATTTTGAAATATCAAATAAGAGACTTCCAACATCATGAAAGCTTGCAGCCGGCATTTCATTAGCGGTTCGTCCTCTTTGAAGGGTTGCATGAATTGTCTCCGCAATGACAATCTGACTTAGCTGTCTAGGAGAAAACTCACGTCCTAATGAACCATTGTAGAACCCCCATAAGAATGACTTTCGAAATAAAAGTATAGAATGTCTTCTGCTCTACAACTTTATTTTCTGATCAGATAGCCTCTAGCATTCTTAAGGAAATCTGAAGATGATACCGACGTCCTTCATTTCCAGCCTCTCATGAGTCGTATGAATAAATCAAGAGTTGAAATAGAAATTATTTGAAACTAGATATGCTGCTCTGAGTTTGGGCTGGAATTTCATACATTGTTTGTTTTTTTGATTATTGATGCACCAATTCAGCCAACGTATAATTGTAAGTTATACTTAGAGGAAGTTTCTTGCAGGTAATCGGCCTCCTATTCATTCTCCTTGGACTTAAGATCACAACTTTCAAATCTCGGATTACTCACAAGCTATTTTCTTGCGCCATCTATTACTACATGTAAGGGCGCTGCTCTGGTGTTTTCTGAGAAAATATTGCTTAGCTGCACTTTCTCCCTTTCGAAGACATTTGAAAATTCCGAGACATTACAAATGCCTAGCTTAATTCAAGTTCTCATGCAGCCGTACTGCACTATTCAATTCGGCGATGCAAACACCACTTAATCAAGAATCGCTCTTGGAAAAATATTGTAAAGGATAGGAGTGATATACTCATAACCATGTTTGAAGGCCCACGAACATTGAAGCATGCGTTGCAAGATCTCTGAGTACTCACACAAAGAGCATTGTGTCTCTTTTGATTAACATGTCTAGAAACTTATTCGACGTATTTGTCAAGTCGGACGTCGGCTTCAACAACATCAAATGCCACGGCATGTTTCTGTCTTCGTCATGAGAATATTTTCGATTACTTTCTGTGCATAAGAATTTACTAATAGTGAATAAGATATCATGACGAACTGGCGCTGAGCAAAATATCATTGAATCACAACGGACTCTATCAATTCCTCAAAAGTATGCCCTTCCCAAGCAAACATCCAACTTTCTGTCGAGCTCCTCAATTTCTCCGGAACTTTTCGTATTACTGCGAGCCAGATGTTTTCCCATCTCACACCCATATCCGGGTCAAGGCTGGCGGCCGAAAGTCGGTAGGCGGCGAGGCCTTTCGACCCCCAGCCGCAGCCTGCCTCTTTCCACCACACTTGAAGATCGTATGCGTTTGGAAATTACAAATTTCCTTTTTGTATTTCGAAGCTTCTTGACCGAAATAATACGTGGCACCAATATGCAATCTCCCGCGCCGTGAGCGGCAGTTTTCGGACTCATGAACGCCGTTGAGTTGCCTGACCGGAACGCCCTGCCAATTTCCGATTTGTCTATTCCGGAGAGAAGAAGATTGTGGGCTATTCCTAGATCTGGAATGTGTTCGCGATCTTGATGTCGTGCGTGATCTTATTATTGAACGTGTGGATGTCCATGGGGGCTACGTACATCACCATACCCCAAGCATGCGACTGCTCTTTAGCCAGACAGCCCGTTCTAAGCCTGGTCTCGAACTGGTACCTTGGCACATATGTGCACATGGGCTTTTACCCGGGATAAGCTCATCTAATATGCATTTCCTGGGCATGCAGATTGCTCTTGCTGGCTCATTTCCTGCTTCTACCTTAGTGTAGGACGGACGCTATGTGTGCGTTGAACATACCCTAAGTTCAGCCGCAGATTGTCTCAAAGCAATCTTGGCAATTTCCAAGCAGATGTTGCCCGGCTACATACCATCTCTATAGCGAGTGTAGCTGCCTTGCGCTTCTCTTTTCTCCGTGACGTCTTCATAAGATCACACTTCATCAGATCACCTTCTTGTCAGCTGCATTACGAAGGTATGCTGTGGAGAAGACGAGGCTAGGCAAGTCGTGCCTTGAATTAAACCACACATGTACAGATGTCTAATGTGCAAAGCCTGATGTGCGACCCCATCAATACTCGACGGTTTGGGCAGAGAATTACTTCGCGATCCACACCCTCTTTCCCTCAAATCTTGATGTTTTGCAGATTTCCATCGATCTTAACTTAATCCAGTCTAGCTAGGCATGCAATTCAGAATTATGCTTCCATGTCGACACTTGGGATTGCCGGTTCGTTCACCCCCCCCTCACGTCCAATCCAATGCGCTTTTCAATTCTGTGTGACATTGCGCAGCATCAGAGCAGTATCATATCTGAGTCTACCAGCAATATTCCACTTGATTGTGTCTGCCTGTCCTCTGGCACCAAAGGCTCTGCCACGTGCCGAAACATTCCGACGCCTCGCAGAGCCTGCTTCATTCAACACTTCAAGAACCTCAAGTGTCTACTCATTTGTATCTCATTGGCTTACACACGTGCTGTCTCAAATCCTGCTCAACATTAGCGAGTCTGATGATCTGATTTGCGGACATCTTCCACTGGATCTAGATGGCAAGCACGCCATACCGAACGGCGAAACTGCATTCTGACCTGGCCCGGCTGGCCTATCGCGGAAGGTCGGGACAGCCTGATTTGATCTTTCTTCCTGCTCGCAGATGATAGGCCGTTCTTGATGCAGGCTCCTGCAATCATCACATCACTGCTGATGACCGGGTCAAATGTCGCATGCGTGCATGTTCCCCGCATTGTTCCAACAAATGATCGTCAAGACCGGTCAAGTTATCGAGCCCATGTCAGCCAATGACCAAGAAAGTGCCTCTCCCTATATACCGCCACCGCTCTTACCCAAAAGAATAGATGTCTGCTCTCCGCTCCTTGTAAAATTGAACCTATCGAATTCTGGCGCAAACAACATCGAGTTTTGGTGACAGTGTACTAGAAGGGTACATGCAGCTGCCTGGCCTGGCTGCATGGATAAAAGCAGCTACCTTTTGGTCCCCTGTGCTAGCGCAGCATTGAGTCTGTGCACCCAGCCCCTCATCGAGAGCTTGGATGGAAGCTCTTCTGAGATCACGATCTTTCTCTCCCCGATAAGAGATCCTGTGCTTATCAGTAAGCTCACTTGGCGCAACTTTGTTCACTAATACATGTAGTGACAATGATTAGATTCGTCTCAACCAAATTCAAGCTTGTAGTTTTAAATCACGATGTTGATACCACCTGGACAGTACATTTAGAAACACAATCTCGGTGCGAAATGACGAGTAGAATGACGAGTAGAATGACTAGAAAAGTCTCACCGGGGGGAGCTCGATTGGAGGGTTTCCTTAGTGTCGGGTGAGCTATTCAATCCAAGTAGAGGGTGCATGCCTTGCTTGATGCTGCGGGCGTTGATAAGTGCAATATTAGTGCCCCCCCAAATTCCAAAATTGATGGGAACCAACTACGTACATACCTTTCTAAAAACAGTGAAACACCGAGGCAATACCACCAGAGCATCTCGAGCACCTAGTGCAGTTGAGCAGATAGGCCATTGAAAGAGAGGTAAAAAGTCGTTGATTGAATGTGGATAATTGCTTCACTGCACCATGCTTTATGGCGAATGTCTACCGAATGAATAGTTGAATGAGATATTGAGGGTTGCTAATAGCCTGTTCTTGCACCGAGGTAAGTTGTCGACCATGGTTGGCGGGGTTCCGCTCGTTCTATGCACGAGGAAGGCACATGGATTACAGTTTGTTCCACCTAAGTGTCCCTTTTCGTCTTAACTAATATAGGAACGACTTACGAGGGATAGAAGGCAAACGCTCTCCAGAGAAGGCGTCCAAAACCCAGGTCTGAGCTAGGCATGGGACTTGCAGAGGGAGATCTAGGCTGCAATGCGAGGTCATCATGATGAACTTCATGAACTCCATAACGGGAATGATCTTTTGCAATCAGCCGAATTAATACCCGTAATTGATGATGTGCAGACCGTCGAAGGGCGACTATCCCGCCTTCCAACGGGTCTTACTGCTGCGCTTACTTGTCCTTCGAGGTTTAGGAAAAGCGTACAAA